ACAAGTAGTAATTAATCTTATTCCTTCGAAAATGGTGCATGTAAATTCCAATCCTGCAAAGAGGACCTGTGGTGCCTACCTGCAGACTACTCCTGAGGGTAGCAGGACTCTGAATTGGTATTTGCTGATGGAGGATTGTGCTTGCCTTGAAGGTGAAGGGACTTGAAAATGAAAAAATTCATCTACCAGAATTTTTCCATTTTTGTCAGCAGTACAGTAACATTTGCTCTCCTATACTGGGAAAACCATTATGCCAATCTCTAAATAACATAAACAGCCTGCTCTCCTATGATGGAATCCTAGAAATGGGAATAAAAGGCAAAAATCTGAATGACTACTCTGTGGCCAGGATTTTACTTCTAGCATACCTCAGGGGGGTTATACGGAACTGTCAATATAGCTGTTGGTTAATGCTCTATAATTTTCTTAAGTGCATAGATGGGTCATATAAGTCATTCTTACTTTATAATTACATAGTAATGGGAAAGTACATTTTAGGTTGGATTCTACTCTCTTATGTATCTTGGTGTAACCATGTAGCGAGGGTAGAAGTTGGCCCTCTGTCAGCACGCCATGCAAGTAACTCATCTGTTACTAATCTCCAAGTCAGATTTACTGGTCTGGAGTGGTTTGAGTTCTGCAGAAATGTGCGATTTCCAAACTGCTGCTCTGTGAAACACATTCTTAAAAGCTAGTGAAAACTTATTCTGTCTTCTCTCCCCTTTCTCTCAATCAAATCAGTTTTTGCACGTGTTGCTCTCTTCATATGAGGATTTAAACTGTTTCTGACAGGTTAACAGGGCACCAAGATAACATAGGATCATACTCATCAGGCTGCAAAAAGCAAATGCACAGAAATTGTCTGAGACAACAATCAGGCAAGCTCCGAAATCTGTTTGGAATTTCTGAGAGGACGCTAAAAAGACACATCAAGGAAAGCCTGGACCTATGGGAAGTCTAGGCTCAAGGCTTCAGCAAAGTCAGGTATCTTTGTCTGATACCTGTACACTTTCATGCATCTTCATAAAAACAATGGCACAAAACTGGAGAGAGAAATGTGGAACTGTTTTACTTGTGGTTGCACTCACAGAAAGTTTATCTAACTGAGATGAACCTGTGTACAGATTTACTGTCACACAACCAATATTCAGGCAGCCCATGGCACATGTTACTGCTACCTCTGGAACTGAGTGCAAAACTATTAACGTGGTAATTCCTTTTTTATCTCTTTCACCCCCCTCCTTCTCATAGTTTCTTAGGGTGTTGCAGAAACATGATATTCTTACTGTTTCAAGCTAAAATTTGCCACTCCATGCATAGTGCACTTCATACCAGACTTTAAGTATCAATTTTTAGACTCTGTTAGGAGCTGCATTTCGAGGATATCAGCCATATTTTTTCAAAAGAATCAGGTTCTCTGTTGCATCCCTTTGCAAATCCAGTGGAGCAGATTCTGACTTCAAATGGCCACCACAGCCACCAGCTGGCATCGGGGCTTTCTCTGCCCAAGGCTGCTGCAGCCCAAGCCCCGCAGACCTAGAAGGACGAGTGGAGGAACGCCTGCTCCACCAGGTCGCCGATGGAGCATCCTGAAGAGGCAAAGCTGCTGCAGGCAGCGTCAGGACTCAGCTCCGTCAGCTCTGGGCAGCGCTAGCTCAGGTATCAGAAGCACTATGGCTGTGTTGGAATCAGCTGAGCCCAGCTGAAGAAGGAGTATTATTACTCTGAGCAGAGGAAAATGCATCTACTGCTACACATTTCTTGTGCCTCAGATAGCTTATTCCAAGCTAGTTTGCTTGTATCTCTGCATAGCACTGAATTACGCCATTGCCAAACCCTACTAAACTGTGCAATGAACTTCTTACAAACTGAGCCTACATAGTTATACCCTCTTTTATCACGTAAGCCACCTTATTTTATATCTCAAGAAAAAGCACTGTACTAAGAAGAGGGAAAGCAAATCAAGCCTTGTATTTTTAAAACCACTCCCAAGTGAAATACATAGTTAGAAACAAAGGAGGAAAACAGTGGAGAAGGACAGGTTTGTGCAGGTCCCAAAGAAGTAATCTACACTCTTTGTAGTCTACACAGTCCTCCATAGCAAACTCACCATGTTCAGCTGCCAAAAAAATATTTTTGCCTGCCTGCATTATGAAATTTTGCATACTATCCAGCAAAAACAGGTCTTTCTATATGCATTTTTAACTTCTTGCAGCAAAACATACTGCTAGCAAACATTACTTACAAAGATGCTCTTTACATATAAATAAGAAAGTGTGTATAACTCACTGATACATAGTAATAAAATAATCCCTAAATCACTTATTACATTATGCAAGATAAATAATTTGTCTTTTAGACATTAACAGGAAATCTGCATTAAATTATCTTTAAAAAACCACTCAAAACTCCCTAAAAAAAAAAAAACCAACAACAAAAAAACCCAACAAAAACCCCACAAACTCCCTAGACTGTCACAATTATTGCACAACTAAAAAAAAGCTTTGGAAAAAACATACTTAACTACTGGAAATTACTGTATGTATAAAAGAACTAGATACTTCTGAACACTTTGCTACGTTCTTCCTAGAAGAACTTAGTTATCTACAGAAAACGTGGGTTTTACTAATGAAATATAAAATGTAACATCTATCTTTTGGCTGAATGCAATAGCGATCATCAGGATTTAAGTGATTATTTTGGAGGGGGCTTTTAAATTTATCTATATTGTATCTCAATGAAAAATAAAACAACTGTCACTTTCACTTGTTCTTTGTATAATTTAGGATCCAGCTGCACACTCAGATATTCACATAATTCCCATTCCTTCAATTAAAATTCTATATATTTGAGAGTATTTTCTCTCTCTAATACTGGGTATTCTCTACGCCATTAAAATCTGCAGTTAAAGGGACTCTGTTAAATTATTTTCAAAAAGATAAAAGATTATCTTATCCCATAGTATTTTCTGACAAGTAGATGGGAAGGATGTTGGAAATTGCATTTATTTTCCTAATTTTTGATAATTATTCCTTGTGCTTTGCTGGGGCAGAAACCAGGTCTGTTCTATGCCAAGGCTCTTTGTAAGTGCCATCAGAAGGACGCAATTATGAGCTGGGCCAATGAAACCAAATTACTAACTCTGCTACTTGTTGTATCGGGTTTCATTTCTTGGTTCTCCATTAGCATAAAACCGCTGATAACTGGAAAAATTTGGCAACGAACCAAGTGAAGAGGAATACTGTTCCCTGGAAGGTTAAAGAAACTACACGCAGAAGTCCTTCTATTTATATTAGGTTTTGTTCAGAAAAAACATTCATGTTGTTTCCACGTAATAAGAATTTTGGCTTAAAACTACAGGTGATGTTCCTTCCAACTGAAGATTTCTAACATGTGACTGAGTGGCCCTTCCGTCAGCAAGCAAGCAAGCAAGCCTTGGTATGTTTCTTCTCTTACGGTGTTCAGTGTGTGCCTGTTATACTCTAACTAGGGTATGACTGGTTAGCACAGATCTTAGGGCAGGTGAGGACTCTGATCCACCAACTTTCCTCCTTGTGTATTGGAATCAGTGGACTAAGAATTCAACCTACTGTTTGTACAGCATATAACCCCATACAGACGAAGAGCTTAATAGTGCTTCCTCCACAAAAATCCAAGGGAAACAGTTCCATTGATTTTAAAGGGCCCAGAACCAAATCCATTTTGGTTCCTTTGTTCCACACACATTATACATACAGGCACTCAAAGTGCTGAATAAATCATGCATGTGAGAAAGAATACAAATGGGCCCAGACAACTGATGGAAATTCAACAAAATTAATTAATTAAACCAGACAACTATCTGCTAGATGCCAAGGGGAATGTTGTGCCTGACCCCTCCCACATGCAAGCAGAAGCTGCTGAGCTTTGGGATAATACAGGCATGGTACCATCTAATTCCCCCCTCCTTCCTTCCTACCTCTACTTCCTCTCTCCAACAAACTGGTGCAGGTGGTTTTTCCTGGACTTACCCTGCAGGACATTACCTATAGATGATCTGCCTTGTCATCTCCCTTGGCAACTCTCAAAACTCCTCTCTGACTGGCATTACTCCCTCTGTGCTGCACAGCTCTAGAAGCCTCAGCAGAGCCGAAGTTATAAGCTCACTGCATGTTGGTAACTTCTACTACAGCAGGATCTTATCTTATGTGATATGTTCCTCTAGAACGAATCAAATGCAACACATATCTGCTCTACCATTAGGATTTAAGAAAAGCAAAGAGAGAAAATCACGCCTATTCATCTTAAGTTGCACTGAGTTTTTCATGTAAGAAGTTAAACTGTGGATGAAAGACAAAGACAAAGCAGCCATCAACACCTCAACCAATATATCTTTCACTTCAAAAGAGTAATTTCTGAAGGAAATCTGCAGTTACGTTTTGTAATCTAATGTCCAAATAATTACATGAATAGTTTTGGGTTTTGTGTATTACTGAGGAAACTACTTCCATATCAAAACATATTCTGTAGCAAAATGCAGGCAAGGAGGAAAGAGAGAAAGCAAACTAATATGTGCACAACACATGGACAACACAGAAACTCTTCTGTGCAAGCAACCCTTCTGAAATACTCAACAGGTCTGCATGTCCACCAGAAAGAACTGCAGGGCATCATGCTGCAGTTATTAAGCCTTCCTCTGTAACACTCCATGTAAACTTTGGCTTCCCGCTCTTAGCTGGAGCATTATATTCTCAAACCACAGCCACAAAGACTACTCAAGTAGCAAGGTGATAAAAGGGATGATTCTGTCCAATTTTTCCTTCCTCTTTCAACTCATTTGTTCTCCAGCCAGCCATGATGTTGTTTCCTGTAATGAAATTGCTTTCCTGATATGACTTGCTATACTTCTGTCTCCTTCCTAATTCACTGTTGTAGAACTTGATTCATACTGAATACATAAGAAGACTGAATACACCAGGCCTTCTCATTCACTTGAAAGACTTTTCTTATAAAGTGTAAACACATTTAAATGAGGAACATGTACAGGCGTGGCCTCAGAGGTACATCTGGTCACACTGTACTTCTCCCAACTACAGGCCAAATTGGAGAATACTGCTGATCAATATGAGCAAAGAAGCAACGCTTATAGTTACTTCCTCCCCTATTTTTTGTCACCTACTGAAAGATGTTTATCCCCAACAACAAAAGAAGCAACGCTCGTAATTATTTCCTCCTCTATCTTCTGTCACCTACTGAAAGATGTTTATCCCCAATAACAGCACACAAAACAAGCAGACATCAACTTCTTTGATACAGTGGGTTTTTAAACCACCCATTGGTAACAATTGTTTCTCTTCTGAATAATACATCATTATTTATAAATTAAACATTGACCTACATAAGCCTCCTTGGAACTTGTGGTGCTCACTTATTATCAGAGATCAGAGAAGAAACACATGTCTTCAAGTATTATAGCTTCTTTGTTTTCTTTTTTTGCTGCTATCACTGATGTAGTAGTAGTAGAGTAGTAGTAGTACAAACTGGACCAGAAAAAAAGTTATGTTCCCTGTTTTAAAAAGAACAGCATGATATAAGGCAGTCTATCAAAAAAAAGCAGTCTTTTTTAATCCCCCTATGAGCTTACATCAGCTACTGTAGCATACACAGCAGAACCACCACAACAAGCCAAAAGCCACACTTCTCCACGTAACACTGAATGGCTCTCAACCCTTCGCTCTTTCTGAGACCCAGCACAACGCTTAAAAAGGAAAAAAACACCTGAAAACAAACAAACGAACAAACAAACAAACAAAACAGAAAACAGCATTCCACCCTCCACCCCATGACTGATTAGAGTTAATGCCCTTCTGCTGGGCACCAAGAGACTTTTCCAGTTTTACTGCCGCCTTCACTCCCAGGCACCTCTGCACACCTAAAGCAGGCTGCCCTGACATTTTCCGGTTTGGACTTTATGAGAAGGTTAACATTTTCCTCTCTCCAGTCTCTGCTTGTTCATTTCAGGCGTTGAGTCACATTAGCCAGAGCAACAGCAAAGGCTTGCACTGCAGAAAATGGATACTGAAAGTCCAAAATGTAAGCATTGCCATCAATCCTTCCAAACTGCATCACCTGGGAAGCAGGGGAAGAGGAGAAGGGAAGGAAAAAGAGAACAAGGTCAAAAAAAGTGAACCACAGAAAAGGAACCAGAGAAGAATAAAAGCAAAATGCTTTTGCTCCTTTGTAAGAACACTGACCTAATATGAATGGGGCTACTCACAGAATGGGGTGTGATGCCCAAGAAGAGCAAGAGTACTATTTGTCTGTATAGAGTATTTGACTGCAATATTTGACTCTACTGAGCTTTAAAACATGCTAGACTGTATACAGCATTGGTGTAAGTAGATTGTCACCAATTACTTCAGCAGATGTGGGTTACACCAGCACCATGCTTCCTGCAGGAAAATACCATTCTCTCCCTTGGAGAGATCCTATCATCAGCCCGTCAGGAAAACAGATCTTGTTTTCAAAGAAAGGACCTTTCAGGAAAGGGGAATAACCACTCTCCTGACTCGTAGCACTTCAGAGCCAGTAAGCTGAATGCTCTTAGCAGTTCTGTTTTCCTTTGCGTAAACTTCAGTAGCACATAATTACACCAAGAATGAATTAGCAAAGGGGCAGTGGGAGCTCTTTGAAATGTAAAGCAAGGCTAGTCAGGTTGTTCATTGTTATTCCTCAGGGAATATCTGAAGTTTGGCCTATTATTACTGCTTTTTCATTTGCTTCATCAGAAGCCCAGATCATATTTGCTCTACAGTGAAGTTCCTCGAGGTAGAATGGAGGCTGTCTGTAAAAGCCGCGTCAGGCTTTGTTCCCCCACCAACAAAACCTGCAGCCGGGTGATTTTACACGGCTGTCCATGGGCACGTATCCGCAGCCATTTAACTGAAGAAGAAAGTTGATATAAACGGCTCTGATCACTGCCTTTTTAATGAGCTGTTGTTACAGACAAACAAAACCAAGAGACTAGTGCTGGTCATGCATATTGGATATTTAAGACATCTAACTCCCAAGTTAAATCAGAGGGAGTTGAGAGCCTTGATGTTTTTAATAAATCAAAAGTGACTTACAGAGAAGGGACAGCCGGACAAGGAAATAAATGTATGTCTCCCAAATTTCAGTCCAGTGTCCTGCTGATTGATACCAACTAATAGCCTGGGTTGGTGTAGTAACACAAGGTGAGAGCCTAAAATTAAATGTTTTGATTTTTTGAACAATCCACAAACCCCTCTACCCGTGGGCGGTTCAGAAGCCCCTTGTTCTGGGGAAGGGTCAGTGCCTCCCTTCCTCTAGCATTAAGAACCAGCCCGAGAGGCCTGGTAACCCATGAGGGGAAATTCTGGCATGGAGGGAACCTAACTGCCTGTCCATCATCTCTGCCTTTGCTATCTGCTGACTGGCTAACCTTTGTGAGCATCGCAGGAAGGGAGCAGTGTTCATTCAGCTAGCTGCCATCCAGAACCACCTACGGCAAATGCAGCTACCGCTGGGGAGATGTGTTGTTTTTATTACAAAACCCACCTACCTTCAGAAGCGAGAGCCAGTGAGACTAAAGGAGGCCCTTATTCCCATGTCCAACTGGAGTAAGACCAAACATATTTTTATAACTGAAATTCACCCTCCATTCTGAATCTAGACCTTTGACGGCTGGTTTTTATCAACCATGTGGCAAACCTTTTTTTCACGGAGCAGCTAACACGAGCGGGAGGCACTCGGCCGCGTGAGACGCACAGCTTATTTCTGGCACAGCTTTCCCACCCCCTGTCCCCCATCTCAGCCTGCATGTGCCGCCCCCTCCTACCTGTCGTCCTTCCAGCTCAATTTGAAAGTTTTTTGCCGACTCCTGGGTCACCCGCCCTCCGAAGTCCAGCTGGTAGACTTGCGTAGCCTCATTCCACAGCGGCTGCTTGTTGGCCATCACGTACACAAAGCCCTGGCTCCCCAGCCTCCCATCCTCCTTCTCGCTGGCCTTCCGGCACTTGAATTCGTCCAGCTCACTGGCTGTCCTCAAACTCCTTTTGGTTTTCCAACCCTTTTTGCTGCCCTGGCTCTGGTTCATCAGTTCATCCCCACTGATAAAAAGCTCTGGCTCGCTCTCCGAACTGTCCTGAAACTCATTCGTCTTGTTTAGCTTCTTGGACTTCAGCTGGTCTTTCTGGCTCTTGACTTTCTTCTTCTCCCTCCCCAGACGAGGGCTGGATATTAGCGAATTGAAGTCGGTCAGAGTCCTTGCCTCCTTTTTGACCTTGCCCTCGGTGATAGCCTGCACGTTTCCTTCCTCGGCTCGACTGTCCAGGCGCTTCCGGCTCTTCTTGCTGAATTTGTCCGTCCTTTGAGGAACGGGGCTTTCTGTCAAGGAGAGCACCTCCTGGAAGGTGTCTGCCGTCTCCACCATTACCTCTGTGCCCACGTGGCCCTGCAGCTCTGCCGGCGGGGGAGACATCACTGGCTTCTCCACCACGAGGAGCGGCTTGGGGGGCAACGTGCCCTGGGGGTTCTGTACGGGTGGGCAGGTGCTGTAGGAGCTCCACGGGTGCAAGGCGATGGGTGGCAGCTGTAAACTAGAGCAGGCGCTACTTCCTGGATACATAGGTGGCAAAGGGCAATAGGAGAGGTTGGATGGATAACCCGGCTGAAGCACGACTGTGGGCTCCTGCTGTGCAAACTGCGTTGGGGCCAGAGCTTCTTTGGGGGAGCAGGGGGGCTGCATTCCCTGAAGGGGAGGGGCACTGTAGCTTCCTGGGTAAGGTACTCCAACCCCGTAACTCGTCTGGAAAGTGGCAGTGGGACTGGTTGGAGACTTGGGGGAAACAAACGGCACTCGAGACATATCCAGATGTTGAGCTTGACCGATGATGAGAGGAGTAGGTTTTAGAGGGTTTGGCACTGAGCTCTGAGATGTCCTTTCCTGAGGAACCCATATCTCTTCACTCACCATAGGGTCCCACTGGTATGGTGGTGGCCGTTTTACACCAAGGGCAGCCTCCGTCAAGGACACGGGTACGTGCCGTATTGATTTCTCCACTGGGCAGTGCTGAGAAAGGGCCTCATCCTCCGTGAAGGCTGAGTTGATATAATCTGCTCGGTCACGGGAATTGTCAGGTGGGCTCAGCAAGCTGTAGGAGGACTGGGAGGCCAGAGGTGAAGTACTGACAGAGTGAGCGATGATGGAGCTGTGCTGGGAGCCACTCCCGGTGCTCAGATCAGGTCTCATTCCACCAATACTGGAAGTGCTGCTACTAGCGTTGGCACTAGCGACGCTGCCCACAGC